AAAAAATTTATCTTTCGCTTCAAAATAAGTTTCAGTTTCAGCGATGACCTCCTTATTTGAGCCAAATCTTTTTCCCTGGAGCATTTTTTTAAGATCAGCAAAGAGCCAGTAGTCACTGGGGGCTAAATCTGGCGAGTATGGGGGGTGGGGAAGCAGATCAAAGCCCAATTCGTTCAATTTTGCCATTGTTTTCATCGACTTGTGGCAGGGTGCATTGTCTTGGTGAAAAAGGATTTTTTTTCTCTGCATGTGCGGTCGTTTTTTTGCGATTTCCTCCTTCAAACGCACCAGTAAGTCAATATAATAATCACTGTTGATCGATTTACCTTTTTCGAGGTAGTCAATGAAAATCACGCCATGCGTATCCCAAAAAACTGACGCCATGACTTTGCCAGCTGACTGCTGCGTTTTCGGGCGTTTCGGACGGCTTTCGCAAGCTGTGCGCCACTCAGATGACTGCCGCTTCGACTCTGGAGTGTAGTGATGTATCCATGTTTCGTCCGGCACTACACATTACACATTATACGCGTAAATAAAAGTTACTAATTTTCATGTTATAACGCATAATATCATAACAAATTAAGAAAACCCATAATGTGTATGATTTCCTAAAATTAAACAGGTTTTCTAAAATTAAATAATAGACATTTATTAATATGCGAATGTTGCTTAAAATTTTCTATATGGAAGTGAACTATCATAGTGAGACACGTGCATATAATTGAATAGAAGTTGATAATGTACCTATATATGGATCAGAATGGCTGATTTTAGTGATTAATTTTTTATTACTAAAACGAGCTGTGTTTATCTTACAATTTACGAGATTATAATTATAATTTAATAAGCGCTTTTATAGAAAGCAATAAAAATATGCACGCATGTCAAAATATATTGATTTATTATACAGCTTTAATAAGACCAAAATTATACATATCGCTTAAGCATAAATACATATATTTAAACATCATGAATTGATGTAAAATGATAAAATAATTAATCTTCTCTTTAGAAGATAATTAATATTTAGAAGAAATATATGTATTTACAATATAAAACATATGCATTGGACTTTTGTCACTTTATTAATCATGTTATTAAATCATATATTATTAGAGTTCAGACATATCCAGCAAGGCATTCAAATGCGTTGGCATCCAATTTGTTCCATTATGACATACAAATAAGACATTGCTGTCAATGTAAGCCTGAACATTGCCCACTTTGTACACTTGCTTAGCCTCCTTATATCTATTCGGGATCGGCATAAATAATATCCCTCTCTCTTCGCACTTCTTTTGTACGAAATCCTTGAAACCCTGCGGTATTTGTGAAGCTGTTCGTACTGCCTCTGCGAGTCTCTGTAAGAAAACGATAGCATAATTTTATAGAAAATATATGCCATTATTTAATATCACGTAATTTAAACGGATAATGTGCAATTCCTATACCTCCATTCTCGGCTGCGCAATCGGTGCCACCTGCGATATTGTTGGCTGAGTTCTTTCTAAGCTTGTTAAATATGAAACTTGTTCTATTGCGCCAGGTTGATGAGTTTGTGGCCCACTGACAGCTCTATTCATCATGTCCAATGCTTTCTTAAAATGCTCTGTAAATCATATTTGTTTCATAATTTAATAATCATCAACTGCGGGGAAACAAAAGATGTAAATTCAATATAATAATGCGACGTACCTTTTATTACTGGTTCTGCTAATAACTTGTCATTTAACATCCCTTTCCAACCCATGTACCAAGTTGTTACTTGATCATAATTAGGCGAATGATTGAGCCAAAGTGCTAAAACTTGTAGCCATTTTGGGAAAAAGAATTTATCAAGTAATCCTGTCATTATATGAACCGGTATTAATTCCTTCCATTCATATACCCAATTCCATTGATCTAAGTGCTGTTGATGTGGATTTATAACAAACTCGGTTAAGGCTATTTGCAATTTTGGAATAATGTTCTTGACTAAAAATGCTTCCATATCTCCTTTAGCAAATACTTCTGCCCATGGTTGCAACATTAATCTAGCGGATCTATCTGATGGATGCCAACCTCCTAATGCAGATCCGAGTTTTCTACGTATTATTGGATAAATCAAAGTATCTAAACGATTTCCTTGAATAATATAAAAACAGTTATTATTACAACGTAATTCATTTGTATAATCAAATATATGAAAATCATATTAAAAGATAAATTTAAATACGTATAATGGCGTGCAAAAGTTCCCGGCCAGTGACATTTTGTATACTCTAATTAATTAAAAAAAAAACCCCGAGAAAATTGTAAGCATTATCAGATGTTAGTAAGATTTCATTATCCACATCTTGTACTGATACACGATAATGGTTAAAATTTTATCAGGCTTTTTTTATAAATTAGAATATAAAATGTCAGTGCCCGGAAACTTTGGCACGCCACTGTATATATACATACACACACGTACACACACACACACTTACGTAATAACGGCAACCAAGGATGGATCCATGTATGAATAGGTACAGTATCGGTAAGAGGATTCCATTCTTCAACTTCCAATGTTAATTTTGGTAACACTAGTAAGTCTAATATATTTTCTAAAATCCAATTGGGTAATAATGGCATCCAGTATTCTATTAATTCAATTAAAGGCTCAGGTTGCCTACATGTCCACTGTCTAATTTACAAAGAAAAAAATATTAGAAGGTACAGATACTTAAAACTATAGATTTTTACGTGTAATAATAAAAATATAAATATATACTTACATCCTTTGATTTACTTCTTCAAAATATTATATATATATATTAGTATATAAAAATTACTTACTGTATGGCTCCTCTAACTGATGGCATCCATGCATTCCATACTAGTTGATCATATGACTGCATAGTCCGTGTCTGTAATGTCGTACTAGTTCCATTCTCCAAGATATCCTTCCATTGTTCAAATAATTTAATCGGTTGTTTTGGTTGTATTAATGGATTCCAATTAAGCAAACAATCCTTTATTTTCGGTGCCACGAAACTACTAGCTAATTCACCAAGTTCGTACATCTTGTACTCTTCATAATAATTGTTTTGTAAATTTTTGAAAGCCTCTGCAGTTTCTTGCAATGACAATTCGTTCGTTTCATTCATTAACTTATCTACAATAACAAGTACATTTTCCAAAGTATCAATAAGTTGACTATGTTGATCCACAACTTTAGTTAAATTCTTTTTTTCTGCTTCTAAAGCAATTACTCTATCATTTAAATGTCTCATTCGTCGATCATTTTGAATAATATCTTGCTCGCACATATCTACAAGTAAATTTAAATTATGCTGCAATTCAGGCAGGGCAAAGTTCACTTTAGATTTCTTATCAGACGTAATTACAGTCTCATCAGGACACTGCTGACCACCAGCTATTGCGTGGTATCCACTAAGAATTCTTTGTTCTGGTCCTGTCATATCAATAACTTTAACTCTACTCATATCGCTTGACACTGGAAGTTTTTTATTAGGTTTAAGTTTTCCATCTTCCAAAACTTGATCTACACTTCTATAACAATATCTGACTTTTTTCTTGTTGCTATCACCCTTCCGCCATTGAGATACTTTAGATTTGAGTTCTTTTGTTTCCTCCCCATCATCATCTTTCTTTTTCTCAGGAATCTTTGGTGTTTTTTCTGGGCCATATGCACCTATTGCACCCCTTCCTTTTCTGAGATGTGCTTCTACTGGTGCACTTATTCCTTGTAGTTGTTTACCTAAGCCCTTACCAGGTTCAAATCCCATCTAAATAAAAAATATTTTTTTTATTAATATACTACTTCTTTATTTTATCTTACTCTGATTTACAATAAATAAATAACAGTCATTGCTTGTAAAATACCTGTAGCAATAATTTAGCACCAATGCCCTTTGTATGCACTTCCCAACTACCCATTCCACTTTTCAGCAATAAGGGATTCACTTGATGGCGCTTTTTACGTAAACCTGCAATGTCGCTGTCCAAATTCAAAGAGAAGGATGGACGTGATTTTGAATTACTTGATCTCTCATCTTCCGAACTAAATGAAAAAAATTATATATGCGTACATATACATATGTGTATATATAAGTTTACCTTAATGAAGATCAAGGAAGAAAAATACATTTATATTAAAAATAATTATGTTTAAATTTCTTACCTCGAGCTACTGTTCTTTATTTGAGAATCCCTGGTCTCCTCATCGTCTTCTTCATCATCTTTAGCCTCCTTCTCTTTTGGTTGTCCTGCTTGTTGGATACCACCAGCGACGAAATTAACTGGTGCTGTATAATTCTTAGGACCCTTGTTAAAAGTCTTAAAAGATGGTCTGGCAGATAATTCATCCTCATCACTATCATCTGCCCATATTCCTGTTGATAACAAAATATGTGTTATGAAAAAATAAACTGTACCTAAAAGAACATAATAACTGTATACTTTTGTATATAGTATTGAAAAATTTTGTATTATAAAGAATATATCAAGTAATGTGTTTCAAATTATATTTCCAATTCTTCGATTCCTTCGATTCTCTGTCTCAATTTAGTATAAAAATAATACTACTTGCAAAGGTTAATGTACCTAGCATTTGTTGTTTCTTCGTCAGTTTGCGTCGGGGGCGAGCGATGTTAAATTCATTATCCAAATCATAATCAGTAACTTCAAAGCTTTCCACTTCATCTTCAGACATTTTGTGTATTATTTAATTAATTGCAATATTGTATAAT